TTCAAGGCTGATACAGTGAATTTTAGATCAGGGATGCTGGTAACAAGGGGAAGCTTGCTTAGTCCTTGTTATAGAAAGTCACATCTCTGTACAGAGGAAAAGATCCATCTTCTGTGTCGAAACATCCTAAGCAGCTGCCTCCTTCTGAATTTTTTGGCAGGAGACAGCGCTTCTCCCTCTCTTTTTTTCTGGAACTCTTCAGTTCCTGCCTTTCTTTGAATACGTGCAGGAGGGCAAAGATTTCAAGGCTGTAGTTTGACTCAGAAAATACAAAACAAAATCCCCAAAGGTGACTTCCTACACTTATTGTGTGTGAAACATTCTAAAGCAATATCCACAGAATTGAACCAGGTTCTGACAGATTTGGACTTGTGCTCTAGCTAATTTTCCTTTTTAAAATTCCCACTCAGACCTCCTGTTTCTGATCCATTGAATAGATAATCAGCATTGTTATTCCTGAAAATGATGAACTAGGCTGTGGCCTTTTATCTTAATCGTTTCACATGAGGTTGTAAAAGGATTAAGGAATATGTCTGATAAATGCTGCGTGGATCAAGGCATTTTTTAGAAGGTAAAATTTGTACTGATTCATGTCATTTAAAGGTCATTTCAATGAATTTGTAGCAAGAAATGGATTTGCTGACAGTGTTTAGCAGAAACTGAAAGTATTCCAAAGTTAAATTTTTTCTTAGGGCCTACATTAGCTCAAGACCTAAAGGAAACCTAGCAATAGACTTCTTTTTCCCCAAGCTTAACTGACTTCAAAAATGCAAGTTTGACTCCAAATGTAGTTTAAATTTCCTTTTTTACAAGCTCTCTTCATGAACAGAAATGTGAAACTCAGAGTAATGTTCCAAAGCTTTACACTACGAGTCACATGATACATATTTGACTCAGGAAACTGTCACATTTTAAAGTAGTTAATGGTTAGTACAAACAACTGTTAATTAAGGTTTTAAATAATCAAATTTCTTTTACTGTTTTAGAAATTGAAGAATCAGTTGCACCTCATTAGATACTAATTAGTGACACATTGTGAAGTGGCATGTCTGAAATGGCAGGAAAGTATAATTGCAGGAAAGAGTATTCTTGATGTTATTCTTTAAAGTTTGAATACAGTGCATTTTAGCTTGGTAATAAATTGTCCTTTACATTTAAAGAAATATGTGTTCTTTCCTGATAGTAATGTACAACCATACTGGTATAATAAAAGTGTAAGTTACTGACATTTTTGTGTTTGATTGATTAAATGGAAACAAAACATTTCATAGCTTTCTAAAACACGCACTACACAGTGTGTACCACTGGTTGTATATTGCCTGAATGGAGGATACAGCATTTTGTCTTTTATGGGGAAGTGCCAATTTGCATTTACCAAAGTGCACTGCACTTCTTTGGGATACAGAAAAGACAAACATTTTTTTTTTGGTCAGCCATTAATCCAGCCCTTGGTTTTGTGATATTTGGAAGCTGACCCAGATAAAAAGTTTTGGCAGAGTCTAAACTTTTTGCTGATCTGTGCCAGATTCTCGCTTGGCCTTGCTCGCTGCCGAAACCAGTTTGCTCTGGTTGTGTTGCAGTGCAGAATCTGGAGGTGGGGGTGGAGGAGCTACCAGAAGTTACTCTTAAAGCTGCAGCTTCTTTTTTCTCCGTCTCTCCTGCAGCGCTGAACATACAATGGGAGAAGAAGCCATGTGCAAAGCAGAAACTAAAGACCATTGCTGAAATGTGCATTTAATTGTGACATTTTGCAGCTTTATACATAAGAATGAGTGGTTTTTCCATGTGATTCACCCTCCATGAAGAGTATGTAAATTTCTGTATTGAGTGCCACATTAAAAAAAGTAATCTAGAACAGACATAGTTCTGGTAAAGTTGGGGGGGAAACTGTTCTAAATTGGTCACAGCCAACTTCTATTTTGGTAGCATCACAAAAAATGTGAAGAGAATATGTTGGAGGTTGTTTTATACATTTTGCAAAAGTAGAATAGGACCTCCCTTTGAAGAAATTGTATCCTGCTACAAGGTGAAGTGTATTTCCAGTATTGTTATCTTATCTTTGTTCAAGTGGTAACTAATGTACACTGTAATCGATCTGTGCAGATCTCACTGCAGGAAAAGCTCACAAAGCAATTTATACTTGCCTTCCTTTCCCTTTTCCACATTGCCAAGAAGTAAAGTAAATTATGGGTAGGGCATAGAGTTCTGGAGTTTAGTTTTTTGATTGTGTGACCTCTAGGGTTCCTAACATGTAGTAGCTCTATTATTAGCAACCATTGGGTAGTCAACATAGCAGTTGTGATTCATTTTTACAATCAGAAACGAAATATGTTTTTTTTGACACAGTTAAAAAAACGGACATTGTCAGAAATGTAAACAAAACTATACATTGATGCACAGACTGACTCAAAAAGAATTCCACTGAGTCAGCAAGTGCAACCATATCCAGCTATTTCACAGTATACTGAAAGGTGGAATGCTTTTTGTGAAATTTTAGCATACTCAAAAGACTAGACTGACATTTGAAATGACAAAAACACCAAATGGAAGATTGAGATTGACACTTGCGACAGGGTTGTATGTTGTAAAAGAGGCAAAAGAAAAGGCGATGGTGTGCACTAATATTCCCCTGGAAAAAGTCTAAGTCAACAGTGAATGACAGGGTAATTCCTACAGGAAGTCAAGTAAGAATACCTACCATGGAAACTTGATTTTCACAACAAAATCATCGATACAGAACAGATTGTTCAGTTCAGTTTATTTTTCATATGCACAAGTTGCAATTAAATGCTTGAAATGATTGAGAACTGTATCTGTAGTTATTAACAAATGAACAGCCACACTACATTTTGGACATTTGTGTATTTTGTAAGGGCCAATTAAAACAGCTGCAGCATGTAAGCTTATTTAACATGGTAGTAAATTAGTTGCTATTTGACAAATTCCTACCCTTTTATGTTGTCATTATCTTGCCTTGAAGACATTGTATGACAGTTTTTTTTTAAGATTTTTAAGATTTGTTACAATTGGGTGTTATTCTGCCAAACCAGTATTCTTACCACACATTTAGGTAAAATGTTCATACTTTCTAATTTTGGTAGAGTAGAAGCAATCCCATTAAGCATAAAATCCTTGCTCATGGATAACACACTCAAAACTAGGTTGTCTTATGGATTTTTATAGCCCTCACTAGAATGACTGAGGTCTATAATTTTTCAAGATAAACTTTTGAGGCTTGGTGAAACTAAACCAGATGACTAAAAACATTGAGGATTAAATTTACAGTATTTTCTCAACATAATTACAGGATATAAATAAAAATGAGCAATGAGTATTTAGAAACGTGTACTTATAGCTTTTACTGATGTATTCAGTACACCTTTTCGTACATTATAACATTTTAATACAGAAATCATGACCCTGTGTAAAAATCATTTTCTGCTGCAGTGTATCAGGAGTATGAATAAATGTGGAGGATATATATATATATTGAGGAGTGGCTTGGGTCAGATCATTGGTAAATTAGCACAAACAAAGACTCAAACCTTCATTTGATGACGGGCTCAGGAATCATCAAGAGCTGAAATGTACCCCTTGTTGCAGCCCTCATTTGATCAAATTGATGAATCTGATTAAACTATTTTGCATGGTTTCAAGAGCTGAGGGGTTCTTGAGAGGCCAGAATGCACTGCCTTTTGTTGAAAAATATTTCATTGAACACATTTCCACGCGCTGTCTCTGGTGCAGAGCTGGTCTCTCAGACGCCTGGGTGTGTAGCAGTGAAAGTGTGAGCTGAGACTTCCAGTGTTTATCCTGCTGACCTCTTCTCTTATGCCAGTGTTTTCCTTTCCCCTGCATATCACTTATAAATAGATACTATCTCACACAGTAAATGTGCTCACTGAAGGCCGGCCAGTGGGATAGAGGTTGGACTGGCACAAGCTGTAGCACTGCATGAGTTTCAAGGTGCCTGTGTGCAAGCCTTCACACCACTTTAAAGCAGCAGATCTTTGGGCAAATTCCCCTCCGCAGGAACAAATCTGAAAATGTGTGGATCTATTCTGTGCTTGCCGTTCAGATTCTAAAAGCGCTTTTAACTATTCTCGAAATTCCCTCTGGCCACTTATAAAAAGCCATGGATGAAATAGCTCAAAATACTGCACTCTGTTAATATCCCGTGTCCAAACTTTTCAGTATGCTCCAAATGTATTGGAGCATACACAAGGGACAGAGGCTTTTTTGCAGTTTTTATTATTATGCTGGAGATTTCCATTACAGCCCATAAACAACTTGAGATCTTAATGTACAGCAATCCATCTATTTATTGTTAAAGTCTGTCTTGTGTTGGCAATCACCAGCTTGGGAAAGGAGTTGGATTCTTGGCGCCAGAAATATATTATTGGGCAGTTTGCGAAAAGCAAGTCTTAACATGGAAAAAGAACAAATATAAATGTGTTTAATATGAGCCTTTGTAGGTGATTTTGATAAAAGCAGTTGCCCTGCTAACTAAGTGTTCCTCAAACAGATTTCAAACCTTCTCAAGGTTGCTGATGGCTGTGGATTGTATAGGAACCGTGACTCTGACTTTGCAACATGGTATGCATGGATAGGTTTTATTGTTCTGGATATCCCCTCTCATTCAAATATCCCCTTCCTCCAAATCACATTACAGGAGTAAAAAGGAATTGCCACATGGCTATGAGACACACCTCCCCACGGGAGCAGTCGTAGCTTCTCACAGTCGGCTTTGATGGGGCTTTTCAGACAGGCCGCCTTTGCCCACGTGGCTGCTTAAGCATCAAGGAGTAGACATTCATCCAGCGACAGCGGCAAAGACACACTCGCAGCACCTGCCAGCGCTTGAGCGAGAACAGTAAAAAAGTCAAAACAACAGGAAAATGCTGATGGTGTGAATTGGTCCATTATGATTTCAGTCAGCGGCTTGACCAACAGAACACGTCCATCTGTTAAACAGCCTCCTCGCCTCTCTGCCGTTACAGGAAACCACTGGGGCATGCAGACAAGGAGGTGATGGCCGCCACAGTCCTCACATCCCTCTCCACAAGCCCACTGGTACTCAGTCCTCCGTCTGGGACTCCAGGTACTGCTTCTGATTTGATCTTGCAACAGGGGCTCCATTCTTACCTTTTTTATTACTGTTAGGTTGTACTGCTGTGCTCCAGTGGTGGAAGAAACACATTTTATCCATGATGTTGGTTCTATTTATATGACAACAGTGTGCCCTATCAAGTTGCAGAAGCATTTGTATGATATGAAAGGTTACATTACAAAGCCACCTTACCCCCAGACGTCTCCTTTTTTTTTTTAGCCCTATTGCTAGCATGGATGAAATAAAGGAGAGTTTACTGACTGCTAAAGAAATGGGGAAAAAAACAACCATTTGATTCTTTTTCTAGCCACTTTCTCCAGTACTGGGGGAGCCGGAGCCTCCCCTAATCACATAATAAGTAAATCCCTCTGACATTAACAAAAAAGCATAGTTTGTGTTTTATTATTGCACTAAAAGTGATTGTTTAACTGTCAACAATGTCACAAGGAGATAGTGGTGCAAAGTAAGAGGTTTTCTGTTGTACAGTTCTTACAAAGTATTATCTATTAGATTAATCTGAAATAGTTATGTTTTACTTAAACAATAGACATTGAAAGCTTAATTAAAAGCTTGAAATCCTTTTCTAGACTAGTCATAAATGTGTTTGCTCCATTCACCTTTGACAGAAGTTCATTATCTGCACTGTTAGTGTGGATTGTTTGTGCCATTTCATATCACAGTTCTTGTAGTAATTCAAAGACATTAGAGGGTCTACTAAAAATAAAATAAATCTTAACTGCTTTCCTTCAGCGGATCATTATTAAAGATAGAAGATTGGAGTGTTTGTTATCAATGTTGTTGTTATGTTGTGTGCTTAACATTTCATTGAAAGTGTGAAGTCAATTATTTCTCCAAACTCCTAAGAAATACATGTAAAACAAATGGAAACAAAATATTGTTAAGTATGACAACAGAATACTGGAAGATCATAAAAAGTTTTACAATTGTTTTTCTTTGTTCACAGTTTGCATTTTTTCTTTTCATTATCCCTGCTGTTCAAAAGTTCAGTGCGAATTGTTTTTAAATTGTGTTTTATATGTAATTGTGTATGATAAGGGTAAGGGATTGTTACAAATGACAACTTTTATTTTGTCTGGGATTTCAATGCAGCTGCAGTTCCAGAGCCTGCCAGCAGGGGGTGGAAGGAGTGCTTGTCCGCGAGTTACAGCAGCTCCACCAGTGGGACCTGGAGCTGGGATGCCAGCGACCAGTCCGTTCCCTCCACCCCCTCTCCTCCACTCTCAAACGACGTCAGCAAGAGCTTCCTGCTGTCCACCCCCAGCGATGACAACATCGAGGAATCGGAGACGGCACACTTCCTGTTTGAGGACCCTATCCCCAGAAAACGAAAGGTAGAACTTGGTGTCTCTGCAGGGCAGGGTAGATACCACCCATCCATTTTTCTTAACCGCCTCTTCCAATTCAGGGTTGCGGGGGAGCGAGGGCCTACTTTGACAAGCAACGGGCATAAGGCAGGGTACACCCTGGACAGGTCGCCAGTCCATCGCAGGACAGATGCACACACCGAGGACCAGTTTCCCCAGAGGCCAATTCACCTGCCAGCATGTTTTTGGACAGTAGGAATAAACCGGACCCCCCGGAAGAAACCCACGCCTACATGCCAGCAGCCATATCGCCCTACAACTCACAACTAGCAACCCACTGAAGCTCAGCAGGTGCGAGCCTGGTCAGTACCTGGATGGGAGACCTCCTGGGAAAAACTAAGGTTGCTGCTGGAAGAGGTGTTAGTGGGGCCAGCAGGGAACGCTCACCCTGCGGTCTATGTGGGTCCTAATGCCCCAGTAATGTGGCGGGGACACTGTACTGTAAAAAGGCGCTGTCCTTCGGATGAGACGTAAAACCGAGGTCCAAACTCTCTGTGGTCATTAAAAATCCCAGGGCGTTTCTCGAAAAGAGTAGGGGTGTAACCCTGCCGTCCTGGCCAAATTTCCCATTGGCCCTTACCAATCATGGCCTCCTAATAATCCCCATCTCTGATTTGGCTTCATCACTCTGCTCTCCCCCCCACTGAGAGCTGGTGTGTGGTGAGCGTTCTGGTGCACTATGGCTGCCGTCGTATCATCCAGGGGGGGCTCACTTTGGTGGTGGTGGAGGAGAGTCCCCATTACCTCTAAAGCGCTTTGATTGGAGTGTCCAGAAAAGCGTTATATGAATGTAAGCTATTATTATTATTATTATTATAATTATTATTACTTAAACTCCACACAGATAGCACCACAGGAACAGAATTGATGTCTGGGCCCCAGCGCTGATAGGCAGCAATGCTAACTACTGTGTCACCTTGCACCCGACAGAGTTGGAGCCACCGGGGTCAGAGAAAGGCTCTTGTGGTCATTTAACACTGAGAGTTATATCTTTGTTGTTTTTCTCCCCTTTGTTCAAACATAAGCCTTTATCACAGTTCCCAGTGAAGCTCACACAGCAGCACATTACAGTAAAGCACGCTGTAAACTGTCTAATTCTCTTTAGAAATAAGCAGTTTCAGTCACAAATATTGACATATGGATCAGATAACTCTTTTGCAATTTCGATCAAAAAAGCAATTGGCTTGTAATTTTCCGAACACAGGGGCCAATGGAATGCTTCAGATATACAGAAAAAAAATACATATCAGGAGAGGAGGTGCTTGAATGATTTAGATCTCTGATCAGACGTCACCAGCAGTACAGTGTACTGTGTCTGTATTTAGGTTCTACATTTCAGAAAAGGGCTACAGTTAAGACACATGGACCTGGATGAATATGTGCTGTGAATAAAATGGGGAATTTAATAAGTGTTAAAAATGTCCTGCAGAGAACTGAATGGTAAGACATATTTTCTGAAATATGCCTCAACATACTAGAACAAATAATTTAATAGCTAGGAATTGAGTAGATTCCATTTTTGGGATTTTACATTTACCACAAACTAGAACCATAGATGCACTGTTGGTAATTTTTCATGCATGACAAACATGATTTAACTATGGCCAAGGACCTTTTGAACTCCACAGTTATCATTGGGGGAATAATAAGTGAGTTATCATGTGCTTTTTCTTCAAAAGCACTCCTTCAATCTTGGGCAGAGTGATAATAACCCCGAATGTTTTTCTCTTTCATTGTATTCTGAGATGCCTGATTTGTCACTGGCTTACACCTTGGAGGGTCTATTTATTCACAGCTCACAGTATACTAAAGGAATTACCATACAGGCTAAAGCTGATGTAAGACCTCCTGTAGCCCAAGAGAAAAACAAGTCATGTGAAGCACTTCATTCCCACTATAGGACCAATGGGAGTTGTTGGCGTTATGCAATATAATTTAAAAATGTTGACATTACCTTGGCAGCTTGACAACATGCAAAGTCTATGGCCTCTGAGCATGATATACTGTCCTTCAAGATCAAGCATTCTTTTGTTTGTCTGTTTTTTGGGGCAATTCCAGGTTTTAAATGTGGATTTAATATCAAGAAACCTCAGGCCCCTTCTTTAATTTCTTTAAGGAAGGTGGGGGGATTTTTTTAATAGTGGAACAACTAAACAAATTGCATGAAAAAAAACAGTCCAGTAGTAATCTAGGAATAAAGAATTTTAAGATTGAATGCTATTAAGGAAAAAAAACATTTTTTTGACCTGTGGGAAGATGTTGAAAGGAAATATCAGCACACCCAGTTTCCTTCATGACTGATTGAAATACAGGTGTGGACTTGTTGCTTAAACACATTTGTAAATCAGGTCTGGTCGCTTGAAGCTGCTGTCGTTTAAAAGGAGTTGCATGAGAAAATAGTTGACATCCTACAGCTTCACCCAGCATAGTTTGCAGTTTGTTTTATCAAGGCAGAAAAATTAAGCAGAGGTGTTGTCTTTTGCAACAGGACGCTGTGAGAAGATTTATTCTAGGTGCAGGAAACAGAATTGAAGTCTGTCAGGATTATGCTAATTGTTATTATCTGGAAGTAAAAGAGCTCCGTAGGCTCTGACTAATAATACCCTTTAGCAGACATTAAATGAATCCTAACATATGCTCCAGTTAAAACATTCATTTGTCAGAATGCATGTTTGCTTCAGGATTAGAACTAAATGTACTTCATGCTGAGAATGTATTCATTCTTATCTACAAGCTATGGGTGATTTTGTTTTGCTTTGTTCATCTGAACATCACTTGCAGTTATAATGTATTAATAAGTTAGGTAGGTTGTACCAGGGTTAGGAGATAAATTGAACTTCTGGGATCAAAATCCTAGATGTGGGTGGCAGTACAGTCTGCACCTGAAGAGCTGGGAGGAGCAGTTACACTGGTCCTATTAATTCCATAATGAACTGATTTAGTTTTGTGTTTTTAGCTGAGTTGGAATGAAAACCTACAGCCACTCCAGCTCTTCAGGACCAAGATTGCCCTTTCCTGTCCCAGAACATTGTTCTGGTGTGGGTGTGTGTCTCTGTGTGTGTCCTGTGATGGACTGGTGATCCATTCAGGGTGTATCCTTGCCAGGATAGTGAAGCAGCTAGGACATGGATGGGTGCTGGAGTATTTTGAATGATGTATGACTTAAATTGACTTTATTCCCATGATTACAATTGTCAGGATTAACAATTAATACAATGATACAGACAATATGCCCACCTCAGTTGTTATTTACGAGTTCTTGGCATAGTAACTGCCCTCATCCAGAGTGACACACAGTTGCATACAATGAATACAGCAGATATTATAATAAAGCAAAAAAAAAAATACAGCACATCACAATCTCACACCATATCAGCATAATTATAACGGGAGCAGGACTCTGGTGGTGGGGCAATTAGAGGCCAAGTCTTGAGCAAGAGATAATGCAACATCCCAAAGCAAAGTGAAACAGATTAGTACATATATATGGTATAGGGAAGATGGTTTGTACAAAACTAAATAAAGGACTCTGCAGCTTTTACTGAAGCTGACATCCCAGCTTCCTTCAACAAGAGACTAGATGGGATCCATCGGTCACTGGCATGCTAGTAGCCAGACAAGCTACAGTGCCTATAGAAAGTCTATATACCCTTTCCAAAGTAAACCCATTTTATCTAAGTCTTCATTTGAAATTACATTTCAGAATGTTTGAGTGTTTGTGTTTCACTTAGAGGTTGTGTGTTACAAATAAAGGTCAAATGAATTCTTAATTTCAAGCTGTTATATTGCAGAAATGTGTTACTTTGGAAAGGCTGTAAAAGGCTCGACAAGATCCTTAGCTCAATCATACACACAGCCAGACAAGCTAGAAGGGTTGAATGGCCTCTTGTCATATATAAACATTCTTATGTACTTAGGTTCTAAAACTACCAGAGAATGAAATGAAATGAACCCTTTACATGTCACACATGCTGTATGTACTGTAAGTGGGGATGTTTACTTTGCATGGTAGCCAGTCAGCCTGAGCAGAAGCATAGGGTAATTACTAGAGCTGTGGACACCAGACAAGTGGGTTTGAGTTCATAACCCGGGTGGGACACTGCTTTTGCATTCTTGAGCAAGGTAGTCCACTCACAGTGCTGCAGGAGAAGCCTGGCTGCATAACTAGGTACTCTCCAGGTTGTCAGTGTCAATGAGAGTTTATTACTAGCTCATCTCGTGAAAGGATTAGAAAAAACTGTCTCCCTTCAGGCGATGCTATGAAATGAGAGTTCTTACTTCAGTTTTTGTTGATAACACCTCAGATTGAATTGCCTTAAGTGCTCATTTCCAGTCCTCAACCCTTTTGACTTTACCATGCTATATTTACCGCAGTCTTATGATGCTGATTTTCCTGTGGTTTCATATGTATTCACTATATACTATAAACTGTTTACTAATCCCATGATCCAGTGTAGTGAAACATAATGAACCCATAGGAAAACACAGAAAATGAATAGTCCAACTACATTATAACTGGTAAAGGTTCAAAAATCCAGTGATAAATTTACTATGGTGGGCTGTGATGAGGGAGGGTCCTATGGTTTTCTCCTCATCACACACGTCAGGTACTGCTGCTTAGGAGTTGTGCGTCACTGCTTTCAAGGCACAGCTGACTTTCCTGTTTTCTCTTTCAGAATTCCATGAAGGTAATGTTCAAATGCTTGTGGAAGAACTGTGAAAAAGTCCTCAGCACCTCCTCTGGAATCCAGAGGCACATCCGGACCATACACCTGGGGTAGGCCCAATGATGGGACTTTTGGGGCATTGTGGGAGGGATTTTTGACCTGATTGTATCTGCCACATCTTTTTATATGGGCTTTGATCACAGTCCCTGGACCGCATGACTTTTACTGTCATCAACTCAAATAATTCCTCTAAAACAATTCCAACTTAACTTAACCATGAAATGTTTTTAAAATAATTTGAATGTTCCTCTTTGGCATTGTTTGTGACATTCAGTTGACGTTTATTGGTAGAATATTTTTTCTGATGGAGGGAAAGAGGTCCAGATGTTCAGTGACATACTGTATTGCCCAAAATTTTGTGTAATCATAGCAGATGTTTGAATTTGATGGAAGGGCAAGAATTAATGTCTCTGTATGCTTTGACTTTAGTAATATAGTCCCATATACCTGTAAAAATCTTGATTTTTTTACATGCACAGTTTAGGAATAAGATGTTAATAAATCTAAGAAAACTGGAAACAAAAAAAGTTCTGCTCTGCAGGAGTGCAGGTTTTCAAACAGGAACTGAATGCTGGTGACCCCTGTTGGTGAAAATGTCCTTAAAAGAAATAGTTACCTCTATTCAGAATATTTCTCTCAAGACTGTTGCTGTATTTGTCCGTACTGTATGTCTCCACTCCATTACATTGTAATGTTGATTACTGTGCCTTTATTTCTGCCGAGTCAGATTTCCTGTATGCTAGGAATGGAAAGTTCCAATAATAAAATGTGAGCAAATCCCAGTACTAGCTTTACTGTGGCATGTCTCTTGGATCTCTTAGTGCCTAGATAGTGAAAGAGTTGATGAGTTACAGCAGGTTCTTGGCGTTTTACAAGAATGGTCTTCTAGGTATTTTCTATCAAATACAAGGTGATAGGGTAATAAGTAATTGTGGTTTCCTCCCTCTTATTTTCCTACTGCATCTAAAGGTACTTTAGTGTGGGTTTTCAGACAGAAGGTCATTGTTTTGCTCCAGCACAATGCGCACATGTGTAAGATGAGACCCCAAGAGTCACAGTTCTTTTTGCTCATGGGGATCAAGTTCAAAAATAGGCAGGAGGCATGCCTGTTTGTGCTGAAGTGCTATTTCAGTTTTCTCGTCTCTGTTTTGGCTCTGTTCTGTTTTCAGTCGGAATGGCGACTCTGACTACAGCGATGGAGAAGAGGACTTTTATTACTCGGAGATCGAGGTAAACATGGACACACTGTCAGAGGGGCTCTCCAGCCTGACGCCCACCTCGCCCACCACCACCGCCCCGCCTCCTGTGTTCCCGATGCCCGAGCTGCTCCACTCCGAGCCCGCGTTCATTAAACCCCGGGTCGGCAGGCCACAGACGCCCCTGAGCCAATCAGCACCCTCCACACTCTGCCACATCCGCACTGACCACGCCTACCAGGTAACACTGCTGGTGCCTATTTACCCAACATTCCGTGCAAGCGTTCCGCCTCTTCCAATTCCTGATTGGTTGTTCCCTCACCTCTGTCATTGGACACCTCGCAGCAAGTATGAAATCAGCCTTTCTCATCAGTTGTGTCTCTCCTTTTTCGGTATCTAGGATCCCCTTCCTGTTTATGCCTTCTTTGCCAAATGTTTTGGTGCGGACATCCACCTTGTGTCTTTAGGTGTTCATTTTGGAAGATTGGCTCATTAGCTGACTGTCATGAGTATGGAAGAGTTATGTAGTTTATTTTTAGGTCTTCACTGCCACATAAAAAGCTTTTGTTTCCCTTTATTTGCATTAATAAATTATTAGTTTAGTTACGTAGTCATATTAAAGTAATATTTTAAATATCCTTTGCCATAAAATAATTGTGAAACCGTTAATGACAGGGTCTCTTGTTCGGTAACCAGTGTTTCCTATCTTATATGTATTGAAGGCAGTTATTATACTAAAACTATATGGTAAGTACGTTTTAATTATGGTCAGGAATTCGTGGCTTGGTATGGCAATTTTCCTACACGGTGCAGTATTTTAAACTAAACTGCGCTGTATTTTTCAGGCAACTGCTCCTGTGAGCATTCCTGTATCTTCAAAGTTCATACCAAGCGAGAACGGGATCAGTATTTCCTGGCAGTCACCTCCTGTCATATTTAAAGGGTCACCGGTGAGCAGCAAACCTCTTGATAGCTCTTTGGTCTTGTCTCTCTGTGTGTGTTGATAATTGTGCACCCAATGGGAGCCTGTTCCAGTTTAAACAAAAGTAACATGTGACTTCACCCAAAATATATATATGGAACCATCAGTGGTATATGGTCTGCAGATCCTTCTTTGTAAAGTGACTGTTTACTCCCTGAAACTAAATGTCACAAATAAGCTGTGCTGAAATGAAAGAAAAAAACTGTATGATCCAGTCGTTCCTTGTGTTTTCAGTTCCTTTCAGTTTTCTCCCAGTAGCAGCTGGTTGTGAAATGGGAGGGAAGTGGTATAGAATGCTTTCTGTATAAGCCTGAAAACATTGCTTTCGCAGGAGTTCTGTATCCTGCTACTAGGGCGTTTACATCAGAAAATACTAATCTGAAACAGCAATTAACCTTGGGCTCATTCTCTTGGTAAACTATTAGCTGTTGGTGAACACAGGACATATTATTTCTTTAAATACGTTTTCTTTTCCTGTTTATTTTCTCTTCTGTTGCTGCCCAAACTATGCTGATTATGTGAAATTAAACATGTACATAAAAATATTTTGCTACCAGTTGTACAATGTGGGGGAAAAAAAAATGTTTTTGTTTTTGTTCCACTCCCCATTTCTAGGAATGTTAGGAATAGGTTGTTTATCTAAATGGGATTAACATAAGGATGTTTCAGGAGTCAGTGTCAATCTGTTAAACATTAATTGAATGCTCATGTATTGACCCTCTGTTTTGCACTGGCAAAATTACATTCTCTATTTTAAAGGAAACAGCTTGTTTAAAATTGTACTGAGGCACTGTATTTGAAATGCACTGTCAGTATTGCCCATAAAGTAGATAAAGCTCTTACATGATAGTGTACATCAAATCTACATTCTGTTCATGTCTTACCAGCAGTATGTACTGTAGTATTTGGAACCATTCATAATGGGTCTGATAAGTACATTTTAAGTAGATACACAAATATATTTAGCCTCAGTTACATCTTAGCCTTGCAACAAAAATGTAATATTTTCACTGCTCCAAACCATGAACACATGTAACACTAAAAATCCTGATGCCTATGAATTAGTCTTGTTTGTATTATGCCAGACACTAGACCTGTAATACTTTGCATATTACAAATACAGCTAGATAAGCTATTTCTAGCTATGAAGTAATATTCAGTGACATCAGTGCCAAATTCCTTGTTTGTCATTGATTCAGACTTGTTGCCTACAGGGGCCTGTAGCTCAGATCCGCACGGTCAGCACTGGGGAGAAAAGACAGCCTCTTCAGCATGGTGCTGTCAACAAGACCCACATCGTCCCCCCTGTCACAACCAAGCCCTCCACAGGAACCAGGTATCACAGTCCAATTCCATCTGTGTTTTCATTACAAGAAATGAATCATTTCTTTCAGAGGATAATGACCCCTGGCAAGGTGGTTGACGGGAAATAAATGGGATACTTTACAGTCGGTTTTAAATGCTGCTTGGTGAATAAATTGAGCTGATATTCACAATAGAGCATATCTGGACTTAGTACCGGGGCTGTTTATTGTTTGATATTGTGACCAGACAGCGAGGATAATTTGCTGCCCATAAAAATACATCTGAACAGTTGGGGTGAAGGCACTGATGTGTTTACAAATTTAAAAGACTTTCATCCTGTAATATAACACAGACCATATTGTTCACAAAATGATTTATTAGGAGGAGCCTTCAAATTTCAACCCAGTTCCGTCATAAACTTTAAACCTGAAACTTCTTTCTGCTCCTATTTTCAAATAGGATTTGTAACAGAGGGCATTTTGTAAGTGACTCTGCTGTTGCTGGTGTGTGGTTTGTTCTGCAGTCTTCTTAATTCTGCATTATCTGCTAAATGACTGATTATTATTCAGTGTATATTCTTTTTTTTTAAAAGCAGGGTTTCAAGGCACTAAGAGAAAAACATAAGAGCAACATATCAGAGCTCATGCTTTTCCAAATAGTTTTTGTTAGGTGATTTGGAAACAGTTGACTAGTGAAACAAAGGATGGCATTTTGCCATTTAGAAAAAAAGCACAAACTAAAATAATTAGTTGTTACGGGAGGGAAAAAATGCTTTTAACAGATTTCCTTGTTTCTCCTCCTCCTCTTTCTTATCCCCACACATTCTCTTGGACACATAAGCTACAATGGATGAATCAAACACTGTAGAAAGGGAGCAAATGTCTTTTGTCAGATTCCCCTGTTAGTCAACTCTCTGAACACCTCATTGCAAACAATTTGGAGAAAGCATGTTTTTTTGTTGGCAGATAGTGTATGCATGTGGAAGGGTCAATGAGTGAAGTGAGTTAGTGAATTAAGAACCAGATGAAGCTTTACAGGAGGGAGAAGACATTTATTTCTCTGCATAGTCACCTTGCACATCCAAAAAACTGTTGCAGGTTGATCATTCTGAGCCTTTTCCTCCACTGTTACTTTGTTTGACATTGTTGTCATTGCCAACCTCTGACATCTGCTTTCACTGCATGTTTGCTAACTTAAGAAAGAAGGTAACTCTTAGAGGCAGTGCACAGCTTGTCAGTGCACAGCCAGACAAGATGAGGTCCAAAGCACATTGCGTTGTGGAGCTTGTTGTAAAAGTCGAGTTTTTGGATGCGTAAGGGGACTGTACAGGGGGGAAAAAAAGACACTCTTAACCAACTGTGGAATGCATGTAGTAAATGAAATATGCTAGGAAAATAACTGTTAAATCAGATTTGTTGTTCTTTGCAAACATGACCTCTTGAGATGAATCATCACAAAAGCACCCAGGCCCTGGAAGTAACTCAGGCCTTGTAGTCTGGTACTAAAATCTAAGCTCCATTTGACAGGCATAATCGACAACAGATCAAGTGACAAAGCCTGTACCAGCAAAATTCATGTTGAGGTTGAATTTTCTTCCTGTATATCTTTCTCTACTAAGATAGAAGCCACAGCATCACCTGAGATGCGTCTCATGACTTAACATGTGAATAGAAAGCCCATGACCCGCGTTCACAGCGTGCCTTCCATCAAAAGGGTGACCTCTTCTTTCACGTGAAGTTGACCTGGCAAGATCGCGCTGCTCTGACTCCCCCTCACCGCGGCTTGTCTCTGGCTCTCTCTAGGAAACCTCGAGGAGAGGCCAAGAAGTGCCGGAAGGTGTATGGGATGGAGAAGAAGGACATGTGGTGTACCGCCTGCCGCTGGAAAAAGGCCTGTCAGCGATTTACTGACTAAACCTGGCTCTTCCTGAAGTTCATACTCGAGACAGACGGGCTCTGTGACCTGCTATAGTTCACACACCAGAGAACACACGCAGCAGTACTCCTTCGATTTCAAAGCCACGTTCTTCCAAGGCACTGGTACTGTACATGATCACCAAGAACCCAGCAAAAGACACCTGATGGAAACCCGTGGCTTTGTGGATCTGGGGGACTCACAGGGATACTGCACTATATTTTGAGAAATACAACATGCTGTAAAAAGTACAAATGTTACAAAAAAGAAAAAAAAACACAAAAGTTGAAATACAAAAAAATACAATATATTGGCTTGGGCAGCATTGTTTTTAGGTCAAAAAATGTATAAAGCAGATTATCATAGCAAAAGAAAAACTAATTCAGAAGCCTTTTAATATGCTGATTTTATACTTTCTAATTTTACAGGTTGTCTTTGCAAGACCTTTCTGGTTGAATTTATATTCAGATAAGCTGTTTGTGTAATATTTCTTTCATGTTCTTAATTTCTTGGTCACTTTATTTAGGAATCTATTCTTGACTTGAACTTTGAATAGAAGGGGGTGGCATCTTTCAGAAATTCACAGATTTATTTCTTGATAGTGTTTGGAACTATTAGGTTTTAATTCCATACATTTCTCTTTTTACTTCGCGATTTGTTTTGTAAGACAAAAGAAGGATGCTCTGCAGTCATCTGTGTTCATTTTAAAGCAGTGCTTTTACCAAAGGAACACAATGTGATTTAACCTGCCTTGTATATATTTGGTATACAAACCTGATCAGGCATCCCTCTAGATCCTACAAAGTCCTTTCAATTTGTTTTTATCTAGTGAACTCTTTAGGTGTGATATTGCTTGAGAAAGCAAATTATATTTTTCTTATTGACAATGTAAAATATCTGTTCTGCGAAGGAGTAGAAGATAGGTCTGAATGTTTGTAGACTGTAAATGCCTTTCAAAAAGTTTGGCCCCTTGCAGCTTAGAATCATCACAGTCATGAGACTTGCATTAAATCATTTTGTTCATCTCAAAATAGCTGTAGTTTAGAACATGGAAAATAGGTTGAATTCTTAAAACTATATCACGCAAAGATTTTTGCTATATTTTTGATAAACTGATTTTTTTTTATAAATCTGATGGTTTCATTTTTTCCTATGCTATGCAGTATTAAGTTAGTTAACACTTTTCTTGCAAGTGTTATTGTAGGAGCCTGTCAGAAACCTGTATTGTGTGTTTTCTGTAATGCGTGTCTTTTAAACTGATGTGAAAAATGGACTGTTATCCTTTTGGAGAGGTGACAATCAGGGTAATCAATGAGCAATTTTCAGAAGCAGAAAAAAGATTATATTTTCTGGTAGCTTTTTAAATGGTATATACCATTCCTTATTTCAGGCACCATTTTTTCACACATATACATATGCACTTAATTGTATACATTGTTAAGGTTTTTATTTGCTTCCTGTAAAGTACTTTGGTGTTTATGGGAAGCATAAGTCTTGTATGGAAGTCTTGGTCTAATTGCTTCACAACAAGATGACAATCAATTATATCACATTTTTAATAGACATTTTTGGCTTCATACTGTATTGATTTTATAATCACAGCTCTTACTATGGATTTTCCTATTGTTTTATTCAGAATGTGCATACATTTACATATACAGTATATCTTAGTTGCAGATATCTAATTTTTGATCCGAAAAATCATTTTTACAGTGCTGCCTGTCAATAGGCAATGAACAAAGCTTTGAGCTGATGCTGTGGTAATACAGTAACCATCCTGGTACAAATTTATTACACTGTTCTGTCACCCCTATCTCATGTTCTAAGCCTTGCTAATTCTTCATTATTGTCTGGGTTACCCATCTTCACCCTAAGACGTCTATTGCATTGTTTTCAATCTAAGAAGAGGACAAAACAGTCTGAACTGTGATTCAGGGCATCAAATGCTTTTTTTCCATCAGAAGAAGAGAGCAATTACATCTAATTGTTGTGTGTATTTCGTGGCTGTATGTTCATACACACGCTGCCTGCATTTTCTGATGTGTTTTCCTGATCAGAAGTAAATGTAGAATGAAATTGTTTGTCATAATGGGTCTTAGGAATCAGTGAGTGTAAATGTTTAAATACACTCTATGGATAAGCCCCTATTGTACACGGGGGGGGGGGGAATTGTCTTCCCCATTTTATCAGGCAATTCCTCGGAAGCAGAGCCATTGTATTATTGGATTATGTTTCCTGTGCATTCTCTGCACAGACAGCTCAAAGCTGCGTTCCTGTTAGTAGTTCTGGAGAAAAGAGCATCATTCTTGAGTGGAAACTTGAGTGAGTGCCAATGGGAAAAAATGAACTTCATTGAATTGCACTAACTTGTACTGCACAAAGATATATTTTTATGTGGAGTTTTATAAGCAGAATTTGAAGATTTTAAACACGTGAAAAAAATGTTTGTACGTCAATGCCTGCATTTTTATGTCCTGATGGGGAAAGACCTGAGTGTTTCAGGATAGGGTTCAGAAGCTTATGGCACAACCAGAGGTTTGTCCTTTTCAGGTTTCCAAACTAAAATGGACCATTTGTTGAGAAGACGGTTGATCTAGGGCACTTTGGTGATGGAAACCAAGCACATTGGTTGTGGAACATCTGGTCAAGAAAAGCTCCTCACCATTGGAGAATGATGTTAATGGCCATGATGTCAGGAAAGAACTGGGAAACTTGATACAGAGACTTATAGCCTTCTGCCCAGCAGCCTAATCTCAGTGCCTTTAGGTGAATTCAGATTACTTATTTATGAGAGATCTAGCACGAAAATACACTGTTTTGGAGGGGTATTTTGGTGGCTGCAGGTGTCTCTGATCTTGCAGGTTATCTCCTCAGCAGCTTCACATACAAAGCTACATTTGTTACAGGATAAGCATGTTGCTACCATGTTATTAGTCATTTTCCTTTGAATTCTTCTTATCTCTGATATTTATTTTTGGAACAAGGAGGAGGAGGTCACAATTAAACCCCCACCCAGCCAGCTTTTCATCGCTAAAGCCATGGCAAAATGCAACCAGCCATTGAGACATTGAGCCAGGAGATTCTCTTTGGTGGGCCAAGTTCAGACTTAGCTTAAATACATATGCAATATAATTAAAAAAAAAATGAAAGCGAGAATAAAAACTCCGCTTTTTTTTCCTTAAAGACCCATTGAATAGAATCAAAGACTTAAAAATGTAGGCACTGATGATTAATGATAAATGTGTACAGTTTTCGATTTTCTTAATTACATTATGTAAAAAAGGTTTTCATCTTTTTTGTTGTAATATAAAACTTTTTACTAGTATTGCTTGGGTGTTTGTGGCAGATAGAAAGCCCTAGTGAAGATAACATGTAAATATTGAACTTTTATAATCTTTTAACAAAAAAAAAACTCGATGAATGTAAAATACCTGTTAGGTTTCTATGTCGATTGTCTTAGGAATGTGCAAGTCGGTTCTCTGGGGTGGGAAATGTTTGAGGTGACATTTGCTTGACAGACCTGCTTACAATATGTACAGTAGGTATACGATTCTGAGTGCGTATCAAACTGTACAATTCATTAAAGAAAACATTACGACAGGACACACAAAGGACAAATAAAGTAACAGAAGGTTTGAGGCCTAACAGACGATTTAAAACTATGTAAATGAATTATGTCTAAATGTTCTAACCCCATATTTCTCTTTCCTTGTGGTTGCATGTTGTATAGACAGTAACAATGAATTTAGCCATGAAAGTCTTGAGTCTTTCCCTTCTGCCCTTTTGTCTGGAAGTAAGGCCTTGGGTCTCTCTCATCTTCCTCCATGCACATTCCTAAGGGCTGCAGACTTTGTCGATGTGTAGCATTCATGTTGAGTTCCCAGTATGTGCATTTTAAGTTGGTTTTTACTACAGCTGCTTCAGCAGCAGACAAGCTGTAGGCCACTGTCCCTACAGTCCTACAAATACCAGGATGTTAAGCTAACCAAATCCAAGCAATGTGCAGAAAACATGTTGTTCAATGTTGTTGTAGATGTCATATTAATCCAAAACAGAAGGTAGGCAATGAGGTAAAAAACAATTCAGTTTTTATGGCAGCTCCATTTGAGCCCAGGCTCTCAAATTGTATGCTTCTTCTGTTTTTTTGGGTGAGTTGTGTTGTCAGAGTTAACACTGATGTCTGGCTCAAACGAACTGATGCCTGTCAGTTTTATTCATTTGCATCTTTTATTCAACCAGATATTAGATATTATGTCCAGCTCCACTTCTGCGGTTGAGCTTAAGTTATAAAGGAACTGAATTAGATCAGTGTTTTCTCCTTAAGATTAGTCTGACTTTATTCCATTTACTTAAATCCCTAATCCTTAAAGGCTATGCTCTGCTGCAGACAAAGCTGTAGTCTTAAATTCAAGTTAGTTTGTTTGGGAAAAGATCCTGCAGAATGGCAAATGTTTAGGTACTGGTAATTGGCACTGTAAATCTAAAATAATAAATAAAAACGTTTAATTGATGTATAAAGGATGCATTGTTTTTACTTGTCTTCTGGAGAAGTGAAAAACAACATCCTGACTTGATCAAATGGATCTTACTACTGTGTTGTAATACTGTTACATAATAACACAGTTGCTGTGTTGTTATTATTACAATGGGTGTTACAACAGTGGTAGATAGCTTTTGTAAGGTGTAAGCAAGGTGTATAATTAATGGGACATTTTGTAGCTGTCTTGCAAGATTTGGATAAACAATTCCAATCATAGTGTAAAGGTTTTAGAACTGGCTAAGAATTTTAAATTGTAAATCACAGCAAATATGAACCTTGGATTTGATCACAAATACAGCTAAGAGCTTGAGTTACATTCTGTGGGGGAATACAGGAGTTGCAGCAGGCTATTCCTTTATGAAGACAGATAATTTTTTGTTGTAATATTTTTTTAATTCCTTAATGTTCTGTAAAAGTTGGGCATGGCAGTAATGTTATGAAGCTTAAGTGATACATCACTGAATTAGCCTTGTGAGTGGCTGTTCACGTGTTTTGTATTGTTGCCAACTTTATATTCAATTAGATGAAAAGGTTTCTTTAATATCGGAGTCTTTTATGAGCAGGAGATACTGTATGTTCTTTTAACAGTTCCGTGCAAAATGCCAGAAACCGAAATCCAATATTTCACTTTGTGTTGAAGTGCATGGTTGTAATCAGTATTTTTTCAAAAAACTGCAATTTATACCAAAGGTTTGTGTGTGTTTGTCTTTTCCCTTGCAATCTGCTTTTAAAAAAAAGTTTACTATTTTTCAAACTGATCTGTGTTTAATTTTCTTGTCTGAAAAGTCTCCTTGTGAAGACCTGTCCTCAAAAAAACATAAGTGGTGTTACACACATTATTTTTGTCAAACATTTAAGTGTTAATTGCCATCTGTTTTACCTGTTTAGATGCATTCTGTTTTGAGAAGGATAATTCCTGGTCAAAATTCTAGGAGATTATGAAGTGTGAAAGAAAAAATATTTTTGTCTTCCTAAGATGCATGGAGGTTATACCTTCAAAATAAAACAAATTATGTGCAAGTTCTTCTTTACCCAGCACAGTACAACCATAGATACAAGTTGCGAAAATACAGTAAAAAATGTAATACAATGTAAGGAATAATATCTATAATTATTGTGTTTTTTAAATTTAATTTTAATCAGTTGAAAATCTAATTTCTGTGACAATGAATGGAAAATACAATAAATACTTATTGGCCATTTGTGTTAGGTTTCACTAAACTCAAATCCACTGAATCATACAATATAAAGACTCAAACCAGTAACAAGAATATTTAAAAACTGAATTGGAGCCCTCTTTATTAAAAACGATGTATCCTTGTATTGAACTTAAGTCACTCATTCATTCAGTTAAGGCTCACCAATGTGGTCAGTTGTTAAATACACATGAGTACGGTACTTTTCTGTTTCACTATTACAGATAAAACATACATTTTTAGTGATGTATTTTTTCACGTTCATAGTAAAGAAACATAATAAGAAAGAATAAAGTGTTTTCCATATGTGGTAAACTTTTCATGATAATATAATTAAGAAAGAACTTGACACACTATTAAAAACATGCAGGTGTTCACAGTATGACTCATAAGCAATTATTCTGTATAAATCAAATTAAGGGAAAAGCTTTAAAAATTTGAAATCAGCTGATGTGCTTGTTCCTTGGTACTGGGGACTTTGTTTTATATATATATATTAAAGTACATGATAAGTCACTTTTCTATGTAAAATGTACTCATGCAGTCACTTAAGACAATCATATAAACAAGCATAAATATTTCACTGTGTTGTTTGTGGCAATGATATGTAATGTAACACTACTTATGTCATTTATTGCAAAAGTGCCTTAAAGTATCTGAAATTACTGTTTTGGAATCATGGTAAAATATCTCTCTTAGAGCAGGACCAAGTTTTTTAACACGATCCTGGATGTAATTTTGTTGTTCTTTATTTTTTAAGCGTAGCTCAAGTTCACTGCCCTCAAGGTTAAGCTATACCTTGGTATTCAATAAAAATGATCATGGTTGAGTTGAAAATGATCGTGGTTAATTGGTTGTAGTACATTATTTGGGTGAGCTCAGGAAAAAAAACATTTTAATGAATTTCCCAAAAATATTTGGCCAAGTTGGGACATGGATTCTTTCTTTGGGACTGATGTAAAAGGGCTTAATGCATTTTTTTAAAAATAACTTGGACTTGCAACTCTGACTTTCTGGTAAAGAAAATGAATGTATTTTTTGTGTTTTTATTTTGTAACACGTTGAAATGTTTTAAAATTTGTAGCTCTTCTGGATACTACAAGAAAACAAATAAAGAAACAGAATTCCTGCATGTCACGTTCTTTTTAGCAGAACTAAGAAGTGTATCAGAAGTAACTTTAATGAAACCGTCAAAACACTAAGCTGCTGAAGGCAGAGTACCCACATCTGGAGTATGGATGTATTTGACGTTTTCCAAAGTTTCAACTGTAAAAAGCAGAAAAGATTCAAAGAAAAATACAAGATGGGTGACATCATGTATTTGTAAAATAAAAGTTCTATCCCAACATGATGGTTATTATTTTTAGTCAATAGTAACTTAAAAAATATGATACAACCTACCTGGAAAAAGTTCCTGAAGCCGTCTTATTTCATTACTATTTCATAACGGAGAACTTATAAAGCATGAATTTAGGTGTTTTTATGTTTGTTGTTGTACCTGGTGGTAGATTAATCCTTTTCATGAAAAAACATCAGTGGGAAGTTGAAAGTGCTGCTGAAACACTGGTTTCTGACTGCTGGTAAGTCACTAATGTTATCAGAGTGATATTGTAGTTGTGTAAAAAAAGAAGAAGAAACCGCTTTATAACTGTGGGTGAGCAAGATCCTGGACATTTCTTATCATTCTCATGACATCTGCTTTAGTGCAGTCGAAAAGAAGAGCCATTTTTTTGTTTTGAAACAACACGGATGTTTCAAAGTTTTTAGAAAAAATGGTGGAAAACATCCCATAAAGTAAATGATATAATATGCTAACATTACTATATTACCACCATTTCACTGTTCAATATTTGAAATTAAGTTAATTAATATTTAAGACACTCCAATTGTGTTGATGGTATGAAAGGAAATTGTTTTAGGCTGTAAAACAAAATACTCAAAATTAGCATATACACAAAGCCTGCCAATCCTGTGTAATAAATGCACAATGTAAAACATCTCCTTGAAGTATGAGATTTTTATCATTCTTGTTTTGTGCTAAATTTAAACGGCATACCATTACAAATATTTGAAAGAAATGTGGAAAATGTGGAAATTTTGATGTACAAATTTGTTTTTCCTTCATAAAAAATAATTTGCAGAATGCACTATTCTTGCAAATAAGGTGCTCTATGTTGCCCTCGTGTGTCAAATAACTGTAATTAAACTCTTAATATCCAAGTACTATTTCCAGCAGGAAACTTTAATACTACAATGAAACTCTTCACGTCCAGAAATTGTAACAAAAATTTAAAAAAGTTTTATAAAAGATACCCTTTGGAAATGAAGCCATTCATTCTCCTTACTGGAGTACTCAGTTTGTTTATTTGGGAAAAAGTGGTTATGTTTTAAGATTAATCTTCTCCACTTTAATCAATGTCTTCAAAACCGGACATGGTTTTATTTTCTGTATTCAGATGATTAAGGGACAAAGCAATGGCACTAGGTCAGGTGTCTTAGTACCCACTGTTTCAGCTAGATTTGCAAACATGACTTGTGCTGTATTCGAATTTTGGATCCATGCTGTGAATGGTGTTTCAACACATGTGAAAGTGTATTTTAAAAGATTTATTAACATCTTTTTCCTCTGGGGGGGGGGAATGCATGATAGAATTCAAATTAAAATAAAAAACCTAAATGGACATTAAATTATATATAAAAGAAAAAACATGTTAAAATATAAGATAAGGCCATTTAGGCTATCTAGCTTATTTTGGTATTGGTTAATTTATCCGAAGAACTGACTGTTTCCAGACTCACATATAAGGGTAGGTCAATGGCGTACTATGAATATTGTTTTTCAAAGGCTTTAGTGAATTTTCTACAGTATATTTAAAACATATACAATAAACAGCTTGCATATTTATGATAAAATGGTACAGGAACAATTTTCATTGACTATGTTAATTGCAGTTGTTAAAAACATATCAAAAGTTCTTGAAAGCATATAGTTTCTACATACTGTATACTGTATGTGCATATACTGTATACAGTATATTTTTCACAAATAGTGTGGTTTGGGACTGAAAAATTTGTATTTAACGGACATTCAGCAATAACAGACACCCCCTTCCCCCCCTGTTAAAATGGGTTTACTGTATTGGAAAAAAATACACTCTGTTGCAATATTATCTGTTTTGAACCTCTTAATATACATTTTTGCTTGTGCTTGCAGGTTATTAAACAGTTTTCTCAATCGAACCCTCTTCGCTTTTAGTCTTTTCATAAAGTGCTTTTTTTCTTCTTAGATTTCTTATTGATTAAGCCAGCTGGGCCATGGCTTTCAAAACTGAGAGGCACTTCCCTCCGAGATGAACTGTTCTGAACTCGAATCTCCTAAAACCGTTGCCCTCCATTATCTATTAATTCCATATCTATCCAATACCATTTTACTTCTTAAATTGCCTTTGTTTTGACCTCTACAATTGCAATTTCAAAATACACCTCAGTGGGTAAATGATACTTTCACCTCTGTTTTTTTCACTTTGTTTGAAAACACCAGAATCACTATATAGGATACATGTATCTATGGATATAGATATACATTGGATAAAATACATTTACAATTAGAACCTACTAGATAAAGTCACCTACATTGTAAGGAGATATGCATGTTGCTTTTGCACTCAGGATATCAAAATTGATCTGATGGCCACTGTTTTTCTAGCAAGAGCTGGAAAAAGTGTCTTTTATTGGGTCCTCTTTTCATTATCAATTGCAGACTGTCCCTAAGACACAAAAATGGCAGCTATATACATTATAGACATGCATTAAACTGGAATACCAAGTCATCAATCAAAAATGACAAACCCAGTACCTCATGTGGCTTTGTGCTTGCCAGTGATTTTTTTTTTTACTTGGGAGCCACCCAATCATCAGGCAGTGGGCTAATGATTTTCAAGTAGTAGTAAGGCCAAAGTGAAGTCTGCTTTTAATCCAGGCCATTTTTCTATTCCCAGAAGACAACTGATAATGTCACAAGCCAGCATATTTTTTAAATCAATGTTTTAAGGTAGAAAAGAAGGTCAAGCAACAATGTATAAAAAGTGTGTTGGCAAATATATAGTACACCTTCAATGAAGTGCAGTTCTGACTTTACAATACAGAGGTGTTCATTCCAGATTTGAGCATTAATTTCCATGTACTGTCTACCGAGTTAGAGGTAGAGAAGGGTTGTGGCAGTGAATACAATGAATAGAAAAACTTGACTAACAAATGAGGCACATTTAGTTCCTACATTCAAGGCCTTTTGAAAGTGCAAGGTAAGTGCTGTAAACAATATTAATTTTAAATTGAAAATTATTTTGTGTGTATGAACTTTTTAAAACCCTGACTATCTTTTTGGGGGTATTTTCTTGACAGGCATACTTCTCAAGTGAAGCTCAATAAAATCACAATAAAATGCACAAGAATTATTTTTCAGCAGCAATTTCCAAATTTATTGAGACTGATTGGTTTTGCGAGTATAGTCAAGCTAATCCCACTAATATGAAGTTAAGAATAAACATAGGCATACCTCAGGAATGCCTAAAAAGGTACAGGAATTTTTATGATTCAACTAGAAAACAGGTAAAATTATCAGTACTATCATATACAGAAAATCAGTACAACGCACTGTTATCTTCTCCCACTATTGTGATTACTAAATTTGTTTTCAATTATTCAACACATCTGCATTACAAACACAGGTTTATAATAATTACTATAAAGTCAGTATCATATAGAACAATATCCCCCACAGAGAGCTTCAACACCTTCAAGCACTGTCCTTTTAAACAAAAAGACAAGTTGAATCATGTCGAAAAAATAAATAATATATATGAAAGTATACACACAGCACTCTTAGTAAGATCAAAATCTAAAATAAAAAGTAGGAATTTGAAATATAATCTAGAAAGTAACCATACATATGGCTTCAAGATTTGCACATATCAAGCTAAACAGGCTAAAATTAGGTTTTGATTTTCTTTTTTTAAATATTGCAAATTGTTCCAGTTTTGCATTTTCTAAAATAAAACAGAGGTGTGCAGATATTTCACCACAGCTTTGGTATAAGAAATTAACAAAATGCTGTTAGGAGACCCCAACAACCAAAACAATAATCCATCAATATAAAAATCCTATAAAACAAGGTGTCAAAATTATAAAAATGTATAGCTGTTCTTCTGAAAAGAAAAACATTTGTTACACATATCCTTCTTTGTGAACATTTGGGTAATTTCCTTGTTTTTAAAAAAGGTTTAAAAAATTCCAACTGGATGTATGGTAAAATTCCCTTCGATCAAAACTGAGCTCCTTACACTTTTTACTATAATTTAGGCACACTTAAAAGGCTGAAGGCAAAGTTCCTTAAAGAAGGATTATTTTAATCCTTTGAGGGCAAGTGACACAAACTATGTTTTCTAAAATCTGTCCTTGCAGTTTTTAGTCACAATCAATAGGATTGTGACAAATCTTCACCTTTCTATCTAGAGTAGTGCTGTACTGTACGTCTAAATAGTAGGCTTTACTTTAACTAGATCCTGCTGGGGTACAGAGAAAAAGACATTTTTATTATTACATTTTTTTGTTGGAAAAACCCAGAATTGTCTACAGGGATTATTCAAATGACTTCATTGTCTTTCAAAAGGGTTTTTATTTTTAGAGATATAAAAAAATTAAAAAAAAAAACAATAAATAAAGCCAAATCTGCAACAATAAAAAAAATCATATTAAAGCAAATAATGTTCACATAAAAATGGAATTCGTCCTCTTGCCTTTACATTTTACGTATTCCTAAAAGCAAATGCAATATCATACAGTAGAGCACACCGTGTAATCAATAACTTGGAATTTGTACAAGAATGTTTTCTGGAATTTAAAGCGGATATATATACGAAATTATCTACCATATACGATACCCTTCATATCAATAACAATATATCCATTCTTAAAATGAAAAAAAAACAATAATTCAAAGCTTTGAACCTGCACACCACCTGTAGAAAAAAAAGCACTTAATGTATACAACGTATATTAGATTATTTTTGGTATAATATTCATTATTTAGTGTACGTTAGTAATATAGAAGCATGTGCTATATATAACTTTTGAACAATATATAACAAATAAGTTAGCTTCTCTGATTTTTGCTTTCTTTGCAAAACAAAACAAAATATTAATAATAAAAAGCACAGAACTGGCACAATAATCTGAAAAATGTTCTGAAAGCCACGTGGCTTGCTGTCCACAACAAGGCAAAGTATAAAAGCTTTTTATATATATAAAATATTTAAATGAAACACATAATAAAGCTCAGCTTCCAGCACTTAACAAATCAAACCACTCTCACTCCAAAGATAAAACACCCAGGCACAAATGCAATTTAAAAAAAAACAAACAAACTGCTATTTGTGCCTTGAGGACTGATCGGACAGAATGGAAGGAATGTTTTATAAAACAGTAAATCCACTAAAAACAACTTTCAATAAATAACCTCTCAACAAAAATAATCTGTCAAAATTCATATTAAACACAGGTCACTTTCCTCATTGACTCTAAGCGAAGCAGCCCAATTTACTACTAAAGAACTTCAAGAGTGAGTCTGGTAAAAATAAAATAGATGAAAATAGCTAGGTTCCTAAAGTGTAAATGGGTGTGGTTTATTATATGAAATAAAGGTGAAATAAGATTAGCTTTCAATATAAAATAAAGGCTAGAAAAACACCCTTTACAAAATAACAGGTCCTAGGAATCCTAGCACGTCAAGTAAATACATTTTACTGACAAAACACAGATTAAGAAATAAAGCTGAAACAGCTTGAGAAAAAAGTGTGCGAGTTTTGAAGGCAGTCCAACGTTCACAAGACTTTTGCTCATATTTGATTAAGACGGGCCTTTCTGTACAGGCCTTAAGCGTACACCATGCGACTTCCCCCACTCATTAAGCAGCCTCTTAACTCAGGAGCAAGTCTCCCAAAATCTAAATTGAGCCCTTGGAAGGAGGAATGGAAAAGTACAAGTGTTCCCCTTCTGAACAGACCTTCAGAATCAGGTTTTCCTTCTTCGACTTTGAAATGGCTAAAAAAGGGCCGGGCCGGGCCGAGTGGTCACCTACAAGGAGATGTGGGCCACTGTGCTGAAGAGCTGGCAAAGTCACGGCGTGAACAGTGAAGTTCCGAATGAACTTCTGCATAGCATTGCCATCTTTCTTCACACACACTTCCAACTACAAGCAAAAATCCTGTTGTTGTTTTTTTCAGCCACAATTGGTTTTTTTCAAGGTTTCATACAGAGCTTTAATAAAATGTAAGAGAAAAAAATGTAAAAACAAGTGGCAAACGAGTTAAGAAAGGCATACCTTAGTTGCAACTTTGTACAAGTAATAACAGTCATGTGGACATGTGTCATTAAAGGTAGGGCGGTCACCAACGTGTTTGAAAATAAGAAAACATGTAAACCACTCAAATTAGGGCATTCGATAGGAATCAGGTCAACATTAAAGTGCAAATCCGTGGTAGTTTTTGCCATCTGCTAAACTGCTGTGAATTATCTGAAGCCTGCTGTTCTGGAATAGAAACAGTACATCTTACTGTGCCACCTGACAAATTAGCAAGAAGACAGCACTTGTTTCTGTTCAAACTGTTGATACTTTGCCACGAATATAAACATTACAAGCCAATGCCTTAAGATTACAGATGACATTTTAAACCTCCAGCTCCAAAATGTCTAAATTTCAAAAGACTAGACGTGATCTCCAACTACGTGAACAGAAAAAAACCCCAAATTCCCTCTCATTTTTCAGACCCATAACATAAGAAAATGTGCACGAGTGAATATTGGTACTGTAACGGTTTAAAATTGTCATATCTAAAGAAGGTAGAAGGCTATTCTCATTTTTCACTTATTAAAAAAAACCAACGAAATGGACTAAGAAATCCAAGCAAAATCTTTGTCGCTCCCTCCCTGGTTTTCGGGTTCTTGTGCAGAGTCGCTCTCCTCCTTCTCATCGTCTAAAATGACGTCCTGGTGAGACATTCCTGAGTCGTCTTTCCACTTGCCGTCCTCTTCCCCCTCCCCCTCTCCCTCCCCCTCCGCGTCCGCGTCCCCCATCTCCTCGTCCCCGTCTGCCTTGAGGTCGTCGGGGTCGTCCGCGAACTGGTTCTCCCCCGGGTAGAGCTCATCTTCCGGGGAGCCCTCCCCCCCATTTTGGTCCAAAAGGGCGGACATGCCGCGGCCCGAGCAGTCGGCGCACACCCCGTGGCGCCTGGAGCCGTGCTTGATGCCCACGCTGGCGGCCGACATGAAGACGCGGCTGCACACCTTGCACACGTATTTCTTATCTTTGCTGTGCACCTGCAAACGCAAAGCACACAGCAGGTCAGAGCGCTCACTGGCCCAGCCAGCCCACAGCCCCCCACACTCGGGTACTGTCAGTAAGATTTTACAGCCACTCTCACTTGACACCTGCGTTTATTGGAAAACAGAAACCGTGAAGCTGGCAAATTTGGATTGCACAAATTTGGGCTTCCCTGCAGATTATTTTCTACTTGCTACCTCTAACGGGAGTTTTTTTCCCCATTTCTAAATAAACTGTTAATGAATATCACCCATGTGATATTTAAAGTGGTAACAGCTTTCCCCTTAAAGAAAAAGAACAAGAAAAAGTACTGAACGAGATTGATGGTGCAAAAGTTTTCATGACAGTGAATTTAAGGATGAGTTTATTTTCTTACAAAACATATTCTAGGACAAAGGGTTAGATACAGTGGTGCTAGATGAATGTATTGGATGAGTGATAACACAGTGCTTCTGCAGCTAAAGTATATCCACAGTCATGTTGACGCAGAGGTGCTTTTTAATAGAATCTAACAATTATTTTTAATTTGAAAATGTACTTATTATTTGTAGTACAAAGTATTTTAGCATTTAATCCAGTGAACTGAATAGTACCAGTAACAGAAAACTCTAAAACTGTTTTCTCAATGTACTTGGGGAAAACAGAAATAAAGACGTTATGATCAATAAAGTAAAAGTCATCCTAAACTTGATTTAGAGAAGTTTCTTTAAACCACAGTTATTTCTGTATTGCGTTTTCCCATCGAGGCACTTACTGTGTGTATGTCATGGTTTAGAGGACTCTGATCTTTCAAAAACCAAAGGAGATTTTTGTGGTCTTCCTTCACCAAATTCAGATTAATTGCATATGTGTGTGCACATGTGTTTTCTGATTAAGGAAGTCTTGTTCAGGAAAAAAAGAAATAACGGAGGTGAGCACTAGTGATATACTGTATATATACTGTATGGTCTTGTTGGGAACTGCACCTTTTTTTTCAGGGAGCTCATTTTTCTGCCAGAACAAATTTCATTAACTTTAATTAAGCTATTATTAAAGCAATTATGGTCCTTCATAACCTAAATTGGAAAAACATTTAGAAAATGGATGGATGGGTAAGTAAAATACCTTTAAAACCTTTATCATCTTTTAAGGTTCTACAGACCATATCTCTCCTCTAGGCTCTCTATGGGCTTATGCTACATTCTGTGGTCAGACATAAGGTGTCACTGATACAGTACGTATTGTATGTGGCATTGAGTGGCACCGGCACTCACCAATGTGTGTCTCTTCATATGTTCCCTGCGAGTAAACTTCTTCCCACAGATCTCACAGGGGTAGGGCCTCTCTCCTGTGTGGGAGCGCATGTGTCTCTTGAGGATACACTGGTGCATGGCTGAGAAGCTGCAGTATGGGCACTTGAACTTCTTCCTGATCACGGTGAACTCGTTCACTGCAATACCAGACACAGAAAAGACCACGTCAGTCAGAATATTGCTTACATTGACAAGCACTTCAGAAAGAAATATTTCTGCTGCACCAGTCCAATAATTGCAGGGGCTAATTTCCTACAAGTGTATTAAAGGCACAGCTGTGTAATACAGAGATGAAAAACCCAAACAAGACTACAACGTCCAGAAAGTAAATGCATATACAACACTGCATACAATAATTTACTGTAAAAGACCAAACTGTATTATTTGACCTTATGATGTTAACCTTTAGGGTAGCTTGACCTTTTACAACAATGTATAGCCAACGTGCTATTTATATAGTTACTATGATCATTAAAATTCAAACAAAATGTGCCTAATAAGCTAATAAGAAAAAACAGTCCAGCTCCAGTCTGTTAACAATTCATTTGAAACAATCACTGTCTTCAACATAGTGTGCAAGCCGAAACTTTGCAAAAAAAATGGGCACGAGTTACTTCAGGTCGCTAGAAGTTATCATTAAAGAGCACACACTGTCTTATTTAGACAGTGCTAAGCCAATTATCCCATGGTCTAGAGACTCTCATATAATAAGGAGGTCACAAAATGTCACAAAAGCCTTTTACACAATTGCTCTATGTGTTACAAGAAAAGTGTAAGCTATGGTAGAATGATATGATGTTGAAAAATTACACAAGTTATACTATTCCATTGAAGGGGAGCCAGACCATCACAGGACCCATGCATATAGAGGCTCAAATCGGAAAACTTTCCCCCCAACGTCACTGATTAGCAATTTTAAAAAATAGCCAGCTGATAAACTACTTCTGTAAACACTGCTTCACAAGGCTCACACAAAACCAAGTGTTTTGAACACTACGGTTCGAAAGAGGACCTTAAAAATATTTTTGACCCACATGCATTTACAGACACATCAATTGCATTAGCAAGACAAGTTTATTAAATACAGATTTATTACATCAAATTCTTACTGTACTTTAAAAATATATATTATCTCAGTTTGTGCATTATACAAGAAAATTATACAACGTTCATAAAATGATCGTTGTTAATCTAACTGAATTTAAAAAATGACAAAGCAAGAACAACAGTTTATCAGATATTTCAAATTAAAGAGGCTGTAATCTGTGTGTTCATTAACTCTCTCCAACAGGCTTTTTATAAAAACTCTGAAATGTTTATTAAACACAGAGCTCTAAAAGAAGCAAGAGAGTTACACAGTACAGCAAGTAACCTTTTTTCACCTGAGGAAAGTTGTATTTATGGGGTGGATATCTGTGCATTCCCTTTTTATATACAATTCATTTACAACTAAATTTACATCTGAATAGATGCACAAATTGCTTTTACATTTATTAACATACAATAAAGAGAACTGTCAGTATAATTTCTTGTTAGTTTGTATGCTTTGTGTCGACTCTCAAATGTCTTTATTTTTCATAATATTTGAGGATGATCTTCCATACCTGCAACCATTATTCACACTAATTATTCTAGGTGGGTAGCTGCGTCAGCATGCGTAGGCTGCAAAGGAACAAGTAATAGGTTTATTCCATGCTGAAAAAAAAAGAAAGAGAACACAACGTTTCGGCCGTGGAGCTTGACCTGAAGAAGGCTCCACGGCCGAAACGTTGTGTTCTCTTTCTTCTTTTTTTCAGCATGGAATAAACCTATTACTAATTATTATATATCTTAAGGTCCATATACTGTATGTGAGAGATAAAGTATCATGACTTCTGTATCCCTAGTGCTTTTAATAAAAAATATAAGCAATAGAGAAGATCATATAATTAATTTTATTTATGATCGCTGATCTCAGTTTACCACCAACTGAGCAAGTTTGCATTAGTAACGCAGTTAGATGAAGAACACCCAGTTTTTTACTAAATCATGCATTTCATAGTTTGACAAAAGATATGACTATTACCATATTGGCTAACTCATGCATCAATATTAACAATCATGTTAGAGGGAAAGAAAGATTTTTATCACTTATAGTAGCACGTTGCCTTTTAAATGCATGTTGTTAATCAGGTGATTGTTAATGAAAATTTCTGGGAATTTGGTTTTTACCATTTCTTTAAAGTTTAACTAATTCATTATTCCTCTAATTAAATGTAATCAGTTAATGATGCCCAGGCACTTTAATTACTGAGAGCCTCAACTTCAACTTCTACTTTTCTGTGATCATCACACTTCATAACAGGTGTCAGTTTCCACCTTCATTAAACATGTCTTAAGAAGTGCACTGACACTATTTTAGTTCAACAGTGTCAATAAAAAACAGAACTGGTACACAAACCATAAATAAGAAATTAACAAATCATATTATAATCCTAAACAACTATTAAAGAGACACCAGGTATACTACATGTCTGACTGTATTAAAAACTATGACTCAATAGCAAAAAGAAATACGTACTGACTTTAAAAACAACACTCGGGAAAAATACTTCAGCTGCACAATTGAAATACTTCTATGGCTCATACACAGGATCTACAGTACACATTAAAAACATCAAATACAGTAGCAGCACTGAGTAAAATACGAATACAAATAGGATTCAATAACTGGAGGTATTGCTTTTTGAAACTGTGGTTCATTCGAAGTTTACATTTCAACAAATGTATTTATACTATAAAAAAGAGCTACATTAATTAAAATATATTGCTTAAGTCAAGAGCAATTTGGCTATAGCTTACTAGTTTATGGAAAATCCCTCATAATATGTAGCCTTCCGTCATGTGTAGATGCAATGAAACAAATTATCCTCAAGAATAATACTGATAAAAGTATAAAACAGAATCCATTCTTTGAATGTGTAAGTCAAATATATATGAGGATTATTTTAAGAGCGGTCAGGTACTACATTAAAAAAATCCCCAATTTTTTTTTTTTCATGGAAACAATTCTGGAATTTTAATGAGAAACAACAGTATTTTCTCCAGGTTAAGACAATAAATTTGCTGTCATGTTGAAAAATAGACTCGAGCTCTGTCGACAAAACTTAAAAATCTGTGCAAACACAAACTGTTCAGTCCTACAGCAGAGAAATGTTACATTAAGGCTTCTAATCAAATACAGAAGACAACAGTTCATCCATATTTTTAATATGGGTTTGGAGTATTTTTTTTTTTTACTTCTGAGCACTAGATTACTGCCAACATTTCATGTACAGTTCAAGGTTTTTAATTACAAAAGCTTATTTGAAACACTGTATTATTCACATTTTATCACTAAAATATCAATTACTGTATGTGCCATTCTTGAGAATGGTTAGAATACCTTTTCAGTTTTGTAACTAGATAAGCTAGCACATTGTGTTCGAGCTGTTTTAAATTTTTAAACGTCTTATTAAAATAAAGACTGGAGTAAATCAGAGCAAAGCGCCCTGCACCATATGTATCAAACAACAGAAGGAACTCGGCTCCTAACCAACACACTAATGGTGCTGAAAAAAAAAGTGCACAATTTCACCCATGTCGTGCCCATATTGACACTGGTGCAAGACTGCAGAAGAGTTCACAGAGGTCAGTGCTTCCTTTCAACGGCTCCCTTCATCCCAGGTCAAAGGTCAAGAGGGGGCAGTTATGACAATTATTCAGGTAGATTAGACAGACACTGGGGGTAGCGATACTGTTTGGCCCTCCCCCAGCCTATTTCCTCCGCACTTAGCCCACAGCAAAAAAGAACACTGTATAGACTCTCCCAGCAGATGGAGCTATTGCACGATAAGACGGTGCTGTACACTTCACAATATAGTTCTCCAAAGGTAAAGGATTTCAAACCAGCTAGAGAGGCAGACGTCTTTAATCCTTATATGGAGATTATTTCACTTGTGATGGTTCCTGGGTAAAAGGTGGGTGACTGGCTGAACACTAAAGCACCATTCAGTAAGCCACCTTGTATTTTGAAGTCAGCCAATTAGCCAATTCTACCACAGGTTCAAAGGAACAACCCAGAAGAATAAAGCAGCATCAGCGAACTGCAAAGCATGTACTGAAATCTTTTTCCTTCAGCAGACTCCAAAATATTCAGAAAAATATATACTATACTCAAAAACCCTGAATTAAAAAAATACTTTTAATACAGCATTATTTCTTCACTGTGCATAGTGATTGTGCTTCTCACTGCAGTTAACAAATATAAAGTATCAAACCCTTTCTTTCTTTTTAAAATACAAAATTTACAATAATACACCAATTGTACAAAATAGGAAGGTTTCAAATGATCTTTCGCAATGTCACCGGCAAGGGAGAAAGTAGAAGCCAGCAGAAAAAAAAAACCCTGGTCAGACCTCACTTCTAGCTCCTGTATTCACCAACTAAAATGAGGTGAACAACAAAGGTGGAACAGTGAGGTCTGATTAAAAGCGATTCAGGCGTCCGTCATCGACATGGGAACGCGCTCCAGGGTTCTCAGCCTTTGCTGGTGGCTTCTCCGGGCTCATCTTGTTTCAGGGCCTCCATGTTCCACAGGAGCTGCGCCTTGGTGCTGCCCTGGAAGCAGACCTTCACGTGTGTAGCCAGGTTCTTCTGCGTGCTGAAGGCCTTGCCGCACAAACTGCAGGTGAAGATGCGCTCGCTGGAGTGCACGGAGGACAGGTGACGGTTCAGGTCGGTCCGGTCTCGGAAGTGCTTGCGACAGTAGCCGCACTGCATCATCTTGCGCTTGAAGTGGATGGTCTTCTCGTGCCGGTCGGCGTTGGACTTCAGGGTGAAGCTCGCCGGACACTGCGAACAGGAGTACCGGGCTGGAGGCTCTGGGGCTAAGAAGCCTGCGAGCCCGGGCAACAGAGGTCTTGAGATGTCGAAATAATCCAGAGAAAGCGCCATCATCAAGGTGTGCTGATGCTCATGTTCCTTTAGCTTCTCTTGGCTGGTGAACACCATTTTGCACAAAGAGCACATCAGATCCTGATGTGGCCAGCTTGCGCCACTTAAAATCAGGTCAGTGTCATTACTGCTTTTATCTGCATCAACCATCTGATCTTCAGTT